AGGCAACACCGGAAGAGAAGCACAAGGAGTTCCTCTCCAAACTCGTGACGCGGTTGTTGTATGCTTGCAACTACCAACGGTCAGAGTTGGAGAGATAGTACCAAGACCTGACGCAACAACATCAGGAGTTGGCACAGCTCCGCCGCATGGTGCAAAGCCACGAGGATGCAACTCGGGCACTCAATGCCCGATTGCTGGACCTGGAACAGGCTGTACCAGGACCAACTGCTGGGGCTTCCAGCAGTGCACCCTCTAGCCGCCAACTGGAGGACTGCGTTGACCACGTAGTGGCAATGCTCGGCGACATCAGCACTTTCGCTGCGCCGACCACCACCATCAGCAGTCAGCTGCATACATTGAAGGCCGAGGTCCAGCAGCTGCAAACGACGAACGCGGATGGCAACCCGAAGATGTATAAGATGCAAACTTTCAATCTGGAGAGGTTCGACGACTACACGCAGCAGGATCCGGTCCTCTGGTGGGAAGCATTCACAATGCAACTCAGGATTTTGCCCGTAGCCAAGCATGCGTACAGCGGACCCCTGTTCCTGAACTCAAAGGGTGGATGCCAGACCTGGTTGAGCCACCTGGCAACCTCCCACGGCGTCGACGTACCAGACTTGAAGGACCAAATCACATGGGGAACTGACACGGCTGTGGAAGAAGCGGTTCATCGTCGACGACGCGCCGACACTCGCCATCAACCGTTTGTTCACCATGTCACAGGGCAACACTGCAACACGGGATTGGCTCACAGAGTGGCAGAAGATTGCGGCAGTGCCCAATCTGGAGCTGCCTTTCACTCATCTCAGACGTGAGTTCTACAACAGATCCTTCGCTGCATTGAGCCAGGCGCTTGGTGATCGCGAGCAGTACTCAACTTTCGCCGAGATTGTCGACAAGGCGAGAGAGATCATCAAGACCAACAGGTCAGCTGCACACGAGAAGTCACCATGGCAGCCGACCTATGTGGAGAAGGTACGAACTGGTCCTCGACAACTGCACTTCGCTGCAGTCCAGCAGGACAGTGGAGATAACCCAGCAGCCACTCCAGCATCAAGTGACAGAGATCAGGTGGCTGCTGTCCAGCCGCAAAGCAACAACAAGTCCCGCAACAATGGGAAGGCGAAATCCGCATCGCAGGCCGGAAATGGACAACCAGGACAATTTCCATGGGTCAAGTTTGGCTTGACCGAGGCGGAGTACAAGGTCCGCGGCCGCTACGGCAGCTGCTATTGGTGCAACAACACCAAGCACAAGACCTCCCTGTGCCAAGATCAGGGCAAGGAGGATGTGCGACCCCGCCTCAACTCGGGAAACTGAGCTCCGCGGAAGGTGAGGCGACTCCACCTTCTACTCCGCCAGATTCGGTCGCCTTGCTAGCGGCCTCCTGCACATCTGGGGAGGATGCGAATGTCGCAAGTCCTCGGTATACTTAGGATTATGCTGTCCACTTGGTTCCACCGCTGGACCAACCGCTCCACGTGCAACAATCTACCGCATGCACGGTTTCATCACCATCGGCAACCGATTCGGCAGCTTCGCCGCCATCTATCGCCGGGGATTCATCATCGTGGTCAAGACTTGAGGTGCTCGACCCATTGACGTTTACGGACTTCCAGTGGATGCCCGTTCCCCCGACCGGACGATTGCCGAAACCGCATTGCAATGTGCTCATGGCACAACTGCGAGATTACTTGCACACTGCAGTACCGACTCCGTTGATGGACGCCGGAGTAGAGGTTGTCGACCTTCACGTTTACATCGCGAAGATCGACCGCGAGTTCAAGACGCAACGGTACAACGACATCGACGCACCATTGCTATACGTACGCATTTAGATCGGAGAGGCAACCTGCAGTGCCTTGATCGATTGCGGAGCATCTCGCAACTACATCAGCCAGGACTTCATGGTACGCGCCCGCCTTGGCCCACGTGTCCGGAGGAAGTCCCAGCCTACGCAAGTCACGTTGGCAGACGGTCATACGCACAAGTCAATCGACCGGTGCATTGACGCTGTCCCCGTGTACTTTGCCCCTCACTCAAGTGAGGCGGTGTCCTTTGATATTCTGGACACCAAATTTGACATGATCTTGGGCATGTCATGGTTGCGAAGCGAGGATCACCTGGTGAACTTCTTCAAACGCATCGTTCACATTCGTGATCGGAACGGAGTATTAGTTCCATGCACGGTGCCCCTTCCTCATCCTTCGATCAGCTGCCATGTGATATCCGCCGCAAGCATGCGAGCTTCCATCATCAGAGATGACATCGAGGAGATGGGGGTGTGTTTTCTCCACGCCCTCCCGCCCCATGGCGCTTCATCGACGGACTCACCTTCGGATCCACGCATCACCGAACTTCTCGACGCCTACAGCGACGTGTTGGAAGGCCCGCACGGAGTAGTACTGGATCGACCCATCCGCCACGAGATCATCCTCGAGGACGGGGCCGTACCTCCGCGCGGTTGCATCTACCGAATGAGCGAGGAAGAGTTAAGTGTGCTTCGGGCACAACTCGACGACCTTCTAGAGAAAGGCTGGATTCGGCCTAGCTCATCGCCATACGGTGCTCCTGTTCTCTTTGTCGGAAGAAGAACAAGGACCTGCAGTTGTGCATCGATTATCGCAAGCTCAACGCGCAGACGATCAGGAACGCCGACCCTCTCCCACGCATCGGCGACCTTCTCGAGCGATTGGGCGGCGCCAGTTCTTCTCTAAGCTGGATCTCAAGTCAAGATACCACCAACTCGAGATTCGCAAGGAGGATCGCTACAAGACCGCGTT